TTTTGGTTTTGTTTGAAAGTTGTTTGCAGTTCCAGATATTTTTCAATTGTATAAATGCAGTCCTTGCTTTGCCAATCCGCGCCCTCACATCTGCATCCGATCCACTTTGGTTGTCGACGATACTGTCCAAAGATGTAAAGTTGTCATCGTCCTCCAAAGCATCTCCTTCAAGGGTGATTTGCTTGGCGCATGTTTTGTTGTATCGTAGAATCTTACTTTTCCCTTTAAGTATGTTGAAGCCCGCTGCACAGGCTACTGCTACACTGGTCGTCTTCTCTTGCATTTATTGTTGCGTGTGCGATAGAAGAGCCAGATCATCTGCGAAGTCCAGATCGTCCAGCTGAGTCCTAGCTGTCTATTGGATACCGTGCTTCCCTCCAGATGCTGAGGTCTTCATAATCTAGTCGATCACCAGGAGAAAGAGAAATGGTGAGAGTAAGCAACCTTGCCTGACACTGGTCTTCACCTCGAAGGAGTCTGTTAACTGTCCTTCGTGTACGATTTTGCAGTTGAATCCATCATAAGAATTCCGTATGATGTTAACTATCTTCTCAGGCACACCATAGTGTCGAAGAAGCCTCCACAGTGTTTTCCTATCCACGCTATCGAATGCTTTCTCGTAGTCGATGAAGTTGATGTAGAGTGGTGAGTTCCATTCAATTGATTGTTCCACAATGATCCGTAATGCCGCAATTTGGTCAGTACACGATCGATCCTTAAGAAATTCAACCTGTTGATCACGAAGTTGGGCGTCTATGAAGTCCTTTATTCTGTTTAACAATACCCTGTTGAAGACTTTGCCTGTTATTGAGAGAAGAGTGATGCCTCGGTAGTTCTCACACTTGCTGTGATCGCCTTTCTTTGGTATTTTGATTAGATATCCTTCTTTCCAATCTGACAGTACTTGTTCCTCATCCCAGATCTTCTTGAAGAGAATGTGAAATATATTTGCAGTTGCTTCATATCTGCTTTCATTGCCTCTGCTGGAATGTTGTCTGGTCCTGCTGCTTTGCCGCTCTTGATTTGTCTGATGGCCATAATGATCTCTTCAACTGTAGGTGCGCCGACATCAATTGGGAGGTCCGTAAATGCTGCTTCGATGTTGGATGTGTTCAGTGGAGCTGGTCGATTCAAGAGTTCCTTAAAGTGCTCTACCCACCTGTTTCGCTGTTCTTCAGTGTTGCTGATTACTTTGCCTTCCTTGCTTTTCACTGGTCGTTCTGGTTTACGGTTGTTTCCAGCGAGCCTCTTTGTTGTATCGTAATATTGTCTCAAGTGTCCGTCTCTTGCAGCCTTTTCCGCCGTCATTGCTAGATCGTCCACATATTTTCGTTTGTCAGCTCTGATGCTCTTCTTCACTTCCCTGTTTGCTTCTGTGTATGCAGCTTGTGCGGTAACTTTCTCTGCTCTTGTTCGGCTGACATTGATTGCTGCCTTCTTGTCCCTCCGTTCTTCAATTTTTGCAAGAGTACCAACAGAGATCCATTCCTTATGATGGTACTTCTTGTGTCCCAGAACTTCGTGACATGTTGAAGTGATTGCCTCCTTGATCCCTTTCCAATTGTTCTCCAATGTTGCTTCCTCTCCATTGAGTAGATCCTGAAAGGCCTGGAACCTATTGGTGAGGGCTATCTTGAATTCGTTGAGTTTTACAGTATCCTGAAGAAAGGCCGTATTGAAATTGTGTGATGTTGTCTGCCCCGTTGTCCAGTGCTTCTTTAGATTCAGTTTCATTTTGGCGATTAGCAAATGGTGATCTGAAGCTATATCAGCTCCTCTCTTGGTTCTCACATCCTCCATGGTCCTTCTGAACTTTTTGTTGATACAGATATGGTCAATTTGATTCTGAGTAGTGTGATCCGGTGAAATCCATGTAGCTTTGTGTATGCGTTTGTGCGGGAATATTGTGCCACCGATGACCAGTTTGTTGAAGGCACATAGGTTTGCAAATCTCTCACCGTTTTCGTTCCTTTCTCCCAATCCATGTCGTCCCATCATGTCTTCATATCCAGTGTTGTCCATGCCAACCTTGGCATTCAGATCTCCCATAAGAATCGTCAAATACTTTGGTGAACATTTTTCGACGATTGACTGCAGCCTTTCGTTTAATTGATCTTTAACGTCGTCATTGTAGTCATTGGTAGGTGCATAACATTGGATGACGTTCATTGTAATGTCCTCTTTCTTTGTTTTGAAAGATGTTTTTATGATTGTATGTCTATGAGATTCCCATCCCATTAGTGCCTTTTGTGCATGTTTGGACAGCATCAGTGCAACTCCTTGTGTATGTGAAGCATTTTCCTCTTCATGTCCAGAGTATAACAGCAGTTCCCCTGAAGCTAGTCTCAAGTGTCTTACTTGTGTCCACTGCGTTTAGCTGATTTCAAGCACCTTGAGGTTGTATATTTTCATTTCTGCCGCAACTTGAAATAGTCTTTCAGTCTCCCACAATGTTCGAACTTTCCATTTACGTAAAAGAATGGTTGCTCTGGTTGTCAGAAGAGGCATCAGCCCCGTGACTTCCGAGGGAACTCGGCTTTCATCTGGAGACGTCACAATTCTTTTTCCAACTCCCAGGGCAGAGTTAAAATGGTTTTAATAATTTTTTCTGGTTAGCGTTTTTTTGGCAAGTTAGTTTTAGTTGGGATGGGGGCACCAACCCCATGCCCAGCTCTCCTCCTTTATCCGGGCTTGGGACCGGCAGTAGCCCCAAAAGTTCTGTATATATATACTATTAGAAGCTTCTTTTCATACAAGAGTTAATCAAGCCAGAAGATGAGAATAAACGAATGTGAAAATGTATGACAGTGATGGTTGATGCATCGAAATGTATGCTATCTGACTGGCTAATTATCAGAAAAGATTAACAGCATGATGTGGGATATTATTTGATATATCAACTGTTTTCTAATCGCAATCAGTTTATTCAACAGTCTCTGTGGCATCATTGAAAAAAAAGAGTAGATATTTTCTAATTCTAACTATCATAGATTACTGAGTGATTGTTTGATTAGAATATTGAATCATAGTGAAAGAACTTTCAAAATTCCTAACTATCTGAACATTTTATATTAGGAGACAGAAATATAACTTACCGATATTGAAAAATGCATTAACTATTAAGTAGATTGTTGTTGAATCTCAGTGAAGCCATGAACTGATCAATGTTAGACTACTATTGGCAACCTGAAAGCACTGGACGGTCTTGTTGTCCTGGAGTGGAATACCTCTTTACACAGTCCTATAAGTGCACTGTGTTGATAAATCCCATACCGGGATTGAAACAACTTTCCAGAGTTTCTAGGTTTTCTTTCTTTAGTGATCTAATATTGGTAAGTTTATGATTTCTATTGTATTCATGAGTTATTATTAAATTATTCCATTCCCTATAACTGTTTATCATCACCTGATGACATTAACCATATCTCATTCAAATACAAATTGTTATAATTGTAAAATCTATCTATGTCTATAGATAATGTTTTTCTATTGTTGTCTATTTTTTTTTTGTTTTACACAACAAGTGATAAACTAATTAATCCATGTGTTAAAATATTCACTAGTAAAAACTAATCAACCCATTTGTTCAACGAATATTTATTGATTAATTTCAGTGAACTATTGTCAAGAGGGGAATATTGTCTCTGCACTACTACTATTTTCAGTAGTGTGTTGATGATTTTCATCATCAGAAACCAATAAAAACACCCACTACCATTGGTACCACCACCTCAGCGACACCAACAACGAAAGTTTTGATGATCTAGGTCAACAACAACAACAACAACAACAATGGGGTTAGTAAACATGTAAACATGAGGGTGAATATTGCTTAATTTGTCAAAATAAACATTATTATCGTTTTAAAATAAACCATTGGGGCAAAGTGTTTTGTTTTGTTTTGTTGTTCTAGAAAATATCATTTATCTCTCACTCTCTCTCTCTCTCTCCCTCACACACACACACACACACGCATATTCTTGCACTGACTAATTCAGTTTCTTCACATGCAGCAGTCCTAAGTGGTGGTGGTAATTCAATCTCACTTATTTAAGTATCCATTCCCAATCAATCATCGATCTATTCAACTATAGTGAGTGAGTTATTATACAGGACCATATACAATTAGCCTCGTGGTTACAGTTTCTTTCGTTTTCTCACTCCCTCCATCTTACTCTCCGTCACTCTCTCTCTCACACACACACATATACAAAGTGTATCTGTTGTCATTATTTTCCATCTGATTCGTATTTATCAGAATTTATTTCTTGAACCAGCATGTTTTGTTTTTATTTTCTCAATAGATTTATTTAAACATATATATATATATATATATATATATATATATATTTGTAAGTTATTTTTAAATTAAATCAATTCTATGTGCGTATGTTATGTACCAATGTTTAAATTTTCAATTTCATATTGAAAGAATAAAAAATGTTACAGTAGTTACAAAATCAATAATTCATTAGATGGAAGAAATTTGAATTGTTGACAATGTTTATTCTTCCATTGAACAAATGTGACATTGAACAGTTGAGTAGGTACAATTTTTTATTCACTCATTGAATAATGATAACAACAAAACAAAATGATGATCAGTTACCGTTGTATGGGATTATTCGATAGTCAAATGCGAAAATGGAATGAAATTACTTTGACAATGACAATAAAAATTCACTTGCATTAATCTTATCTAAATTAATTCAATGTTTTCTTTGTTCAGTAGGTACACAATATATCACTACTAGTTGAGCAATAATTAACATTCTTTGGTAAAAAAAATACCTCATTTGAATAAAAATACATTTTTTTATTAAATTCATAATTTTCATTCCGAAAAATGTTTAATTAAGTGATAAGGAAATATACGTTTAACGTATTTGTCAACCAATTCCAAACATAAGTAAAAAGATAGAGATAGATCATCGCTTACTTCACGTTATTCCCATCATCATTCAAATTATTTTCAGTGTGTTATGAATTGGATAACGTAACTAGTCAATAGACAGTAATAAATCAGTAGTAGTTTGAATATTTGTAGTAGTAGTAGTAGTAGTAGTAGTAGTAGTAGTAGTAGTAGTAGTAGTAGTAGTAGTAGTAGTAGTAGTAGTAGTAGTAGTAGTAGTAGTAGTAGTAGTAGTAGTAGTAGTAGTTTGAATAGTTGTAGTAGTTTGAGTAGTGGTAGTAGCTAACACCAATCGAAAATAAATCATAACTTATTTGAAAAGAGGTAATTAAATAAATGGGAAATTTATTGTCATCAGCTTCATTGTCATGACAACAATGCATGTATACAACGGACAACACAATTATAATATGCGGGTGAATTCATCTACACGAGGAACACATTCCTCTCCTACATCTATGCCTCTATGTCAGCGTGTCCGTGTGTATGTAAGCAACACATACACAGTAGTACTGAAGGGTCATCATTATCATCTAATCTGTAGGTATTCATTGTATGTGAGTGTGTGTCAGTTTAACAAACATTGATTCTATCAATCTATCAATCAACTTGTCTGTATCCAGTCCCAATGTTCAATTTCACACTTCCTACTAATTAGATAATATTATCTATCATTTCCATGTGTTTGGTAGAAACTGGTTGGTTTTGGTCTGATCATGCGTTGTTTAAAACTCACGTAATTCAATGTATCAATGAAAGAGATGAGTGAACACACATTGAATTAGTGAGGAAAATGAGAGCAGTTGAACACTTTGTAATGAGACCCATTTGAAAGATTCCAAATGATGATTTGACCGCAATTTACGAATAAATGTTGACAGGCAAGATACACTATAAAATACTTTGACTTCAGTGTATTAAATAACTGTCTGAACAAGTAGATAGTCTATACTCTCTGATGAATATGCAACAGTTAGTTAGAAAAACAAATGTTTACTATTCTAAACTGTTACTCACTGAATCATTTTGTTATTTAGAATAAAAACAGTGTGTTTTCTACATTTTATTTCAGTAATTTTAATTTTAATTAGAACATTGAATTCATATTAAAACCGATTCACTGGATTCAATGAGGATTTGGTTAATAATCACGAAGTTAATCAGTGAAAAACAAGAAACAATTGCCCGATTTATTAAAACAATCAATGCTAAGCATCAATTTATATCAACAGTCAAAAGTTTGAAAATTTAACTTATTTCGTGTTCTCTGTCTCTCTCTGTGTCTCTTCTATCTCATAAGGCATTGAATAAAAAAAGGATTAAACTAGAAATTAATTAAAATAAAATCCTCTTTCTTACCCTACATGATGGAAATTTCTGAATAAAGATTAAGTGTTCCCTCTCTCTCTCTTTTTGTTGTGTTGTGTTGCTGTTCTCGTTGTTGTGGTAATTGTGTATGTGAAAAAGATTGTTCCGTTTTTTTTGTTTCAATGTTCAATACTGATGGTGATTGCAAAAGAAAAAAAGAAAACTTGATTCACATTTAGCATTTTACTATTTTTAAATAAAATACTGACCTATATTTTATTGACAAATTAGTTGTCTTAAAACAACAAGTTAAGTGTACTCAATGCTTTATTTGTCGTGTAATCTCTCTAATATTCAATAAAATAAGCTCACTTTTATACAGGAGATGATTTTAATTTTCATTAGCTGATAAATTCATAAATTTTCAAATATTGTAATTTCCCACCGTGAGTTCAAATTCCACAAAGGTTATTAGTGGATTGGCACGAGGAATTCCAACAAGCTTGCCATCTAAATCCAGCAGAAGTTTCTCAATGACTAACCTTTTAACATTTAACAATTGATCAATTAAAATTTAAAAAATCAATAAAAGAACATTGAATTATTTAAAAATTTTCCATTTTATTCAAGAGAGCTAGGAAGAAAAGCCTAGAAGTAAATTGTTATAATTTTTTTTATCATCAATTGTTAATTCAATCGGAGAATGAGAACATTGATAATAATATGATAGTGTGGAATTGTAGGACAATGTACAGCAATTTCAATAATCTATTTTATTTATTCACGTTTATTCACGTACTTGTTTAAAGGGTTCTAAATGACCTTGATCTAACCGAAACCTCTGGTGTCATACTTAATATAGTAACAATATAAGAAATTGTCCAATCAAAATGTGACAGACAATTCTCTACTTTGAGAAGTTTTCATTCACTACTACTAATGAAATAGATCGTTTTCAACTTATTACTAATCTTGTGTAAATTTTGTCAAGCGATATTTATGAACTTTTAATGGGATTTAATTGTTTATATTTTTTGAGATTAGTCTTTTTTTTATGGTTGAACTTGTATTAGTTACCACTAGAATCACTTGTGAAAGTTAATCACTAGTAAACACATGACGATTATAGATAGTGTTGAATGGTTTCAGTTTACATAATAAACTGATCTGCAATGGATTATCTCATATAAAATTTAACAATCTTCATGGTACTTTGTATTGACTGAACAATGTGTGTAATGCATAATTTTTCATATATTTTGACATTTGAAATAGAAATAATTTTTAATTTATAAACTCATCATTAATAATCTGGAATAACATTTCAATAGTTTATTAGTTATGATCTATAAAAACTTTCAACTTATTGATTGATTTATATTCAAAGTGTTAGAATTCATTATTGACACCTGATATAAATAGAAAAAAAATATTTCACTATTCAAATAAGTTAAGAAATAATGAAGCGTTTCAATGCCTATCGAATAGTATTACAATATATCTACATAAACATTGATAACTCGATTATGAAATAAAAAAAATTGAATTGTTTTGAACAGTAATTATCAATTAATTGTCAGTTTGATTAATAAACAGAAAATAAGTTTTGTAGGAGTAGTTGGTGTGTTCCAGCCGCATAGGTTGGTCAAGTCTCATTTAGTGATGCCAAGTAGCGTTTCTGAAAAGAGTATTCTTTAGAGGCAAGCAAACTCACCGCATGGATGTGTTTTGTGAGGAACCATTACATCCAGGATCTCAGCAAGTGTGTGTCACACAAGGAGCAAGTGTACTTTACGTGCAATCAGCAAAACATGAGTTTTCACCTCACATATCTCGTAACATAAACATAGGCACGAGCACTCTGTTACGTACTAGTTATTTTTTTAACCACATACCTGTACCATTTCTTACTCCGATGGATGTGTTAGTTTCGGTTTCTGTTTTAGGGCAAACAATTTAGCTAACGTCCCACAAGTGTACCCTTTGCATATAGCTAAGCACATCAATTACACATAGACCAAAACCATTGTTCTAATTGTAATCAGTTTGTTTTGAGGAGAATAACAATGTATATATACATATATTTCAGTGTTAACTGATTAAAACGGGTTAGCAGAATGTCATCTAACGTTGTAACGATCATCAGTTTCTCACATTACTGATATTCTTTACTTTGAAAGTTTATCCGTATTTGATTTCATAAGCCGAACAGCCATAGTTCCACCATGGTGGATGATTGAGGTTGTTGTACTGTAGAGGGAAGAGTGGTGATATGCAAGACTCTGCGGATCCGTTTGCCAGACACTATGAACAATAACGTGCTGTGAGAGAAAACAAAGTGGATTCCTGTAGAGGAAAAAATTGGGAAAAAGTGCTGGAGGTGCATGGGACATATATTGTGGAAATCATATAACTGCTTCACAAGGCAAGGGACTTTAGTCCCTGAAGCAAAAGGAATAGAGAAAGATCAATGAACACGTTACGCCAATAATTGGAAGCAGGTATGAAGAGGATGAACAACGATTAGGTCGCACTTTAACGGAGTGCACTGGACAGAGCTGGTTGGAGACTGCTCCTCTGAGGCCATGTAACATGTATAATGCAGTCATCATGTAAGTATATTTGGTGAAATATATATTGATTTTTGATAATTCATATCATTTTCAGTGTTATTCCTAATTCTAGCTTATAACTAGAATGTATCCATAATATGAAACTGTGGCCATCAATATTTCTGTTATGTGTATGTTCAATACATCGTATGTCCATTGTGAATGTTGAACAATTCCTTTAACAAGTTCAAAGTATTTCTTGTATTGAATTAAAATACAAAGTAACTGAACTAAATATTACGCTTCAATAATACATGTTTTTAGCTTAATTGTACATCATAAAAGTGTATAGGAGTGTATGATTTGAATACATCTCACTGGGTCATGTAAGTATGTTCAATCCCGAACCGACTCTGATCAATGAGAAATAATTGACAAGACTTTAACAACATAGTGAAACATTTGTTTAGTTTTTATTGACTGTTCAACTGATGATGCCCCAGTGAAAAAAGTTAATATTGACAATGATCATGAGTTTTAATCAGGTCCATGCGTACATAGATTATTCATAGATTATCATGCTCAACTAATACTATGATCATACTTGATAATTAACTCAAAAGAAAATAGTCATTACTAAAATCTTATGATATAATTTAACGTGTAATCAATAACAGGTCACGTGATTTTGGATATGTAGCCGTCAAATAACCAACGCTTTACACCTATAAGAAATCCACATCTATGTACATTGTATGACTGTGACAGTAAATCAGTCAATCAAAAATGACCTTTGCCCTTGAGATTGGAGAATAAGTTGTTTTTTTTTAAAAATTTTTTTTATCGATAATAACCATATGAATATCATAAATGACCTAGTCTGTCACATTATGCTCCTTGTTATTAGTACACAAAGCATTAAATTATATGTGAAACAGTACAATTGATATTGTTGACTTTATTTTATAGAAGATAAATAAATGTGTTGTTGGCAATTATATGCAATAATTGCATATTCTCATGCTAAACAATCAATGATTGAATTTTCTCTGTATTCTTTGAAGAAGGTTGAAAATGTGATATTCAATTTTCAATGTTCAGAATCATCGTTGTACACATTTGTACACAGTTCAATTGATGAATCGATAACAGTCTATTAGTTTTCAATTATCAATTATCAGTTAAATATTGTTTCGAATACGGATATAAATTTTAGTAATCTTACTGGCCGTGAATCTATGGCCAATCTGTTAGTTATGAAGTTAATTGTGATGTAGATTGTATTGTTTGTTGTTCAACATTAGAAAAATATAATTGAAAATTGATCAGTCCAATCTATCTCTTGTTTCTTGCTTCGATTAGTTTAAAATCTTTTCACTGAGAGTTCTGTGACTAGTTCCTTAATTGACGACCAGTTACAGATTAGTGTAGAGGCTTTTTTTTGACT